AAAAAAAAAAAAGGACATGGAACAACATGGCAATGCACTGTGATAACAAAAACGTAACTTTTAAAAATACTTAAGAAATAAGCATATTGTCAGCATGGCTATATATCACATACATTGAACCAAACCAGGATGGTCTAATAACTACCATAATTAGTTTTACGTTGAGGCAAACATGAGGTAAAATGCATGAGGCTGCCACCACCAGCTCAGCTAATCCACAGTCAACTTTGCACATTTTGCAAATTGTTATACAGAATACATTTGGCTGTGTTAATTTAATGAGCCAAACCTTCTTTCCATAAAGTAGAAAAGGTGTAAGAGAATAAGTTAAATTTCACTTACAGTGCATGATCAATTACTAGTTTTGCATATTGTCTTCACAACTAATTGAACTTGTGTGCACTTGAAGTTGCTTCCACTAGCTTTTGTGGACTACCTTGCTTGAACTGCTTTCTGTTTGTGAAAAAGTGGCTTCAGAATAATAAAAAATACTCATAGGAAAATAAAACTGTTTATTTTGAGCAACAATCTCATTTTTTTTAATATTTTGAATTTTATAGATCACATTAAAATATCCTGCCATTGTGTGGTACCAAACAAAAGTTGTCTTTACTGTTTGTAGTACAGTGGAGTAGCCTATTGTTTAGACTGACTATATAAAGAATGTAATTACTTAAAATTAAATATTTAAATTATAATACTTTAGTTGGGGTTTAATTTGTTTGTTTTTAAATAAACAACTTTATAATTTGACTCTGTTCCCCCAGTATAGACATATTTTCTCACTTACAGTTGGGTTTTTGTTTAGTCTAGTGATTAGACATGTTTCCAGAGGAGTTTCCAAGATCAGTTAAGGATTACCTTTCCCACTTTGTTTGACCTGCTCTATTTATGCAGATTTTTATGTTTCTCACTTACTTTCCTTGATGTATTTTTTTTTTTTTTTTTAATAAAAAAGGATTTGCATGCAACATGATAATTAATAACCATGCCTTCTCCAGCTAAGTTCTCTCAGTTACTTCACTGGAAAAAAAAAAAAAATAAAATGGATTTCATTGTGTGCTTGTCTAGGAAGGACAAGACCAACTCTCTGTTTCAGTGGGATTTAGGCACTTAAATATAAAGGAACTTTAAAATCCAAGGCTTCACCATTTTTCTTGGTGACAAATATAATTAATTAAAAGCTAAATTCACATATTTAGGTTTCTTGTTATAGATATTTATTTAGCCACTATCTCCATTAGCAAATACTTATAAATATACATGAATGTGTGTCCAGGTATATGCATTTCTTTCAGCAAGTCTTTCATTCTTCCTGTATTTTATAGTGGATTAATAGATGTTATCAGTTTTAAGCATGGATGTGGCAAATATCTTAACATAATTTAAGGAAGGATCATGCGATAGAACTTAGAAAGATAAAGGGGAAAAAATAGTGATAAAGTATATGAACTTGGAAAGAGGTACTGATCTGGAAATGGACTATTAGGGTACACTAAGAATCCATATAACTGAGAGATGACTGAATGATTCTCAATGGCTATAAAGGTTGAAGAGCTGTCTTTTTGTGGTGAAAATATAATCAAGCTAAAATCAAATTATGTAAAATACATTGCAAGTAACATTCAAAAAAAAGGAGGCAAATACCTCTTTTGCTGACTGCATGTCCCAGAAGGAAGGACACTGCCATCAATAGGAAGCACACAGGCCAAACCTTTCCACCCCATTCCAGAGTATATGGGGAAGATATGAGGTGGCTAACAACTGGAGGAATAAAAAAATCAATGCATTCACTCACAGAATACAACAAAGCAAAGAAAGGGGCAAGCTGAGTCAGAGACCAGGTCATGGGGGAAAGAATAAACCAGGTCATTAGCCCAATTCCAATTGTATATTAATTGCCAAGAAACAGCACCATTATATACATGATCCTCTTTCTGTCCTGGTTGTGGTGTTGTCCCACCATTGCTGGGAGCTCTGCTTGTAGTGGACAGTCAGGTAGCCCTTCCAATAATTAGAAATCTCACGTAATGCATTCACTGCAAACAGAGCCAGCCTTTATACTGTTAATTTTAGAGGCAGGACACTTGATTTTAATTCCAAAGGCAGGGCACTTGGTGGTGATTTCCTAACTGATTTTCACGAAAGGTTGTCCAGGCCTTGAGAGAAAACAAAGAGGAAAGTCTTTCCTGCCTGGTTGTAGATTTCATCCATGTGTCAACTCTGATTCAGGGCATGGGGTTTAGACCCCAGCACTTCAATACCTGAAACACTTCTTCTCATGTTATGCCTAAATTACATTTGCAGAAATAGTTTTGCAGAAATCAGATTTCCTGTATTTTCATAGTTATGTAAATTATGTAAATTATGTACTGTGTATTTAAATAGCTGATACAGATCATTGGCATTTTTTATGTTAGTCTTTCAAATCTTCTCTTTTCCCATCTATTTATACTTTGCGAAGATCCACTGAATTCTTCCCACTTTTTCAATAAATATCACAAAATTTTTATAGAGAAAAACCTAACAAGCATGAATGGCACAGTATGCTTAAATAACTAGAATTTTCTTTTAAATAGAATTTGGAAAATAACATTTTCAACAGATAAGGAAACTATGGTTTTGTGCGTGGTTATGAGTTCTTAAATAAAGGAGGTTTCAACTTCATGTAATTGTGGGTCTTCAACCTACAATAATTCCTTAATACTTAACCTTTCAGTTTGATTCAGTGTCAGCTACTAATGTCTGTAGCTTGAGTTATGAATATCATTTTATCTTGCATAAGGAAGTGGTTTATATCTGTATTTCTAAAATTGGAGCCTTGCCATAACGTTTGTATAACCGATAAAAATCTGCTACTCTACTAGACTGAAAGAAGCTTCTTAATAATTGACATGGGAATAAATTAGTTAAGAATACAGAGTTGAATACAAAGGCTATCACAAACCTTTTAATTGAAATTAGGTGATCAACATTACGTATTCTGAATTTGTTTAGATCTTAAAAAAATAATATATTTTGATTTTCAACAAGCGAGGGATGAGAGACAACATATGTTCTGATGTACTTGGGTTTCAAGTTCCTAGAAGCTACGTTTTGAGCTTAATCTTCCAAACTGCACAAGATTTGTAAACTGGGTGAAAGAAAACATTGCCATTAAAGTCAAGGTAAGAAATTATTATACATTGTTTTATGTATCTTTATAGAAAAAGTTACAAGTAGCAAGCATATGACACAGAAATGGAACAGTAACAGCAATAATTGTGAATGCATGCTTTTTACAATGTATCTAATAAAGGGAATTTTTGCCAACTCAAATATTCAGTAACATACATGCAGATTATTTTCTCAATGTCAAATTCAGTCATATTGCTAGGTGCTTATCCAACAAACATTTCTATTGAAGTGCTTATGAATGGCTAAATACCTGATTTCAATAAATTGTTCCTGAAATTGGAAATTTAACTTGCAACAAAAAGAAGAGAGAAAAATAAAAGAGAAATGAGCAATAAGCGTAATAAGGAAAGTCTTATTGCCTTCTAGGAATTTTACTCAACACTGCTTGCTGAATTTTGTCATGATATGAGAATAGCTGGTCAGAAAGTCCATAAAACCTCTAGCTGGTGTTTCCAAGGACGATAGTTTCATTTCATTGTAGCATGTTCAAAATCACCCAGGAGCGCACTATTCTCAAGCAGTCTATATAATGAAAACAATGTACATATAACAAAAATTCAATGTAAATCTTCTTCCACATATCACAAAACATACAAGTAAATAACAGACATGTAACATATCAACTGAAATAAAACTAAGTTTGGGAAAAAAAAAAAAAGGGGGACAGTCTCAGTTAGGACCTAATTTTTTCTTCAAGTTACCAGCAAATCTCCAAATGTTTTTAAAAACTAAGGAGCACTTGGTGGCCAGCAAACAAATTACAAAAGAAATGTGAATGTGCAATGGGAATATCTTGCTAAGGTATTTAGATTTGTCTGTGCTTCTTAGGTTTGGATAAAGGCAATGAAATGAAATTAGAAACATGTTCACTGTCTTTCAGACAGCTGAAATAATTCACTATAGAGTTTTCCATACAGTGTTTGCATGACTACATGAATAGTTTTCTGAAAGCAAAACAAAGTTAAAATATGTTCTCTCTATGAGGAAAAATACAGAAAAATATTTACCTACACTGTCAAGAAACAAACAAAGAAAGCATTCTTTCCCAGTAGCATTGCTGTATACATATATACACATATAGGCATGTATTTACACACAGTTATGTTTTTATATGTATATATACACATATATACACATAAATTGGCAGACTATGAGCTATCTATAACTTCATTATGAACATCTGAGACTATGCATATTAAGACTAAGTGTTGGCAACAAATTAAACATAATTAAAAGCCTAGGTAAAGCCTCGAAAAAGGAAGCTTTATTTGCAAACATTAACAATAATGCTGCGGAATCTCTAAATTTATCAGTACTACCACATACCCTTCCCTCCAACACTTCACAAGGTTGAATGAGAATAATTAACTGAAAACAGATAATTCCACACCATTTCACATGGTAGGACATTAAATTTTATTTTCATAAATAAGGAAAAATAAGTGAAACACCAGAGCTATGCAAAGCTCCTTACTTTATAATGTGTTTCAAATGAAGATTATATTTAGCTAAGGGATGATTATAATGTCATCAAGAATAAGGAATTAATAGATTTTATTTAGTTTACAATGTTAAAGTGGTCATCTGTCTTTCAGTTTTCTCAGTATTCAAACCTGCCTCTATCCATACAAGGCAACATATAAGTTGAGAGCTAAAATGCATTTTAGAAATATAACAAATAAAATGGAAAGCAAGAGATGTTTCAGTTGTTGTATAAGCATGTTTACTTACCTCAAGTTTGTCTCAGACCCTAGTTGTGTTGTACTCAGACTCATGTTTGCTTAGAGACCCAATGAGGCAGAACCTGGAATGTTATGGCTATTTCATTCAAAATAATAATGTTTGCACAGAAAAAAAGAAATATACGCATATAGATACTTAATAAACAGTATACCTTGATAATTTGATCAATATTCATGAATTAAATTACACTGGCATGCAATTAGACTAAAAGAATCAAATAGCTTGTTTTTTTAGGAGACAGAAATGCCTTAATGTGCAAAGAAAATATGGAGGGCATGTAAACAGTCACAAAAAGTGCCTAAATAACGCATGCAAGAGAAAACACAAATATATATTAAAACTCTGTGTTCTTTCTGAAATAGATCGTTCATAAATGTTTCTGCTTTTCTTTTTCTTTTACTTGAAAATGTTTAATAATTTATATTTACAGTCATTCAAAGTGCAGTATAGAGTAGAAATAGCTCTTTTATTAAAAATGTCATGCTTGACTTTTTATTGATTAGAAAGATTCATTTGAACTACATTCTTATATATAAATATATGATTATTCTCTCTTCACTATGCTGTCTTATGTTCTGATTGATATATATATGTTAATATGACAAGACAAGATCCTGTGATTAATAATGGAACAGATACAGTACAGTTTTGCAAATATTTTCATTCATTATATAAAAGATAATGTTTCATAAGAAAAGGGGTTTCCTTTCCCTGGGATTTTGGTTTTCATTATTGCACCATGCATCAAAATGGATACATGAATTTTATATTTATTGATTTATAGGTGTTAGACCAACAGTGGATGATGCTCAAGGCCACCTCAGTTACAAGGAAACCACGTGTATGTGGCTCTTTCGAAAAGCAGACTCACACAAAATCTTTGGTTTTTAAAAATTGTACCTGTTCTCTGTTAGCTTGTTTGTGTATGCATGTGGGTACATGTACAATAGTAAAAGAAAAAGAAAGATGAAAAGTAGAAAGGTAAAACTGAGATACAGGATCCTTCAGGAAAGAGGAGCAGAGATGAGAGAGAGAGAGAGAGACAGGAGGAGAGAGATAATATAATGGTATGTTCTATCAGGAAACAGAAATTTAAACAATAAATAAAGAAGAAAGAAAATATGTCTTTACTGAATAAAGAGTGAATATGTTTGAGCATTCAAGTCCTTACACAGTAGTCTTCATCAAAAATCTATTGATACTGACCGCTGAACAGCTTTATCATGTCTGGACAGCCTGTGACTTGTGGTTGGTACCTCTTCAATTTCATCTATCTCACACGCATCTGCAGCATCTTGTGAGTAGCTATGCTTCATGACAAGGATATTTCTCCTGTTCATGGGCTGAATGAGTGGTTTTACAGGCTGGGGTTGTATTTCTGTCAAGACAGAAGCATCTCTTGTGCTGAGGTTACTACGGCTGCCCTTAATGCTAGACACTTGTGATCCACAGTGATGGTCATGAATGCATTTTGAAGATGATCTCCGCAGTTTATGATAATTTTCAAAGTCATCTGCAACATCAGCAAGGTCAGCTGTATGCCCTGTCCCTCTGAGGGTGCATAACTCATAATGAGGAGGCTCAAACACCTCCTGGAATACTGTTTGATCAAAGTCTGTTTTCCTTTGGACAAATTTTTTACGAGGCTGCTTGATCTGTACTATAACAGAGATAACAATGAGGATGATCACAATGCAAGAAGTCACCCCAATTATAGTCCCACTGGTATTGGTAAGTTGGTCCAATAGGTTAGCTTTTCTTTTTTCTGTGTGACAGGACAAAAAAAAAAGCACAATGTTAATTGCAGTTCAAGAACAAAAACAATCATGATGGGTTCATGGATTACTGCAGAGCTGAGCCTAGTTTATGTCTGAGTTCACTTAATCAGCCTCACTGACAAAAACAAGAAAGGAAGAAATCAGTTATTTGTGAAAGCCAAATAAACAGCACACAGGTCCTCTGTGTGCCTATTCACTTGCAAAGTGATTTATTCAGGGTGTGTTACAAGCTTAATAGGATGAAAGAATTCTTTATTTTTTTAATTATTTTTTTTTTATAAAAAGCAACCACCATAACAAACAGATGGCTTTAGTACGACCTCTGAACTCCACTTGCCTGCTAAAGCCCCCCAGACTGTCACAGATGTTCTCATCGTTATTTTCTGTCTCTTCCAGAAAATATATGCAACTAGGACATTAGGATCAATGAAAGGGCATGACTTTACAGGATTTAAAAATAAATTCTTCTGCATATTGGGAACTTCAGTGAAGTCCTAATATTTATGAGCTGACTGGGACAGTTGACAGTGGTCAATGGAAAAGCTAAATCAGAAGAAAATAGAGAAGTTATTCAAACTGAGGTTTCAGAAAGGGGAAAAAAAAGTATGCAAGTTATTTCTTTTGTTCCTTATCTATTAATTACCACAACTTTTCTAAACAACCATAAAAATCCAAAAGCTAATCCTATTCTCCTTTACTCAGGGGCCTTTAGGAACATAGCCAGAAACCCCTGTGTTGTGAGTGAAGAAAAACAGAAAATATGCAGTAAAATAATAAAAATAAAACCTGTTTCACCCTACTGTGGTGTGTAATTGTCTGTGGTTTGCTTTTAAATGACTGCAGACACCTAAGACTGTGACTGAGCCTTATAGAAATCCAGGCTGAGAGCATCCACATCAATGTCTCACAGGCACAGCAAAACTCGACAACTCTAAGTTTCAACACCCAGTTTAGTGTGATTTTTCCTGGCAACTTCAAACCTATCAAAGGATTTAATAAAAAGCCTTTGAAGTAAGTTATTGGTACGAAACAATAACATCCATCTCTTCATAATCTCCTAGATACCAAAAATTAACTTTTCACTATTCCCCATTGCCTGCTCTTGTAGAGTCACTTGGGGTTTCTCTGACTGACTGACACAGGCTCTGGGGAAGTAGCTGAGTTAGAAAAAGCAACACAGCAGCAAACAACCTTTTTGCTGGAATCAGCAAACCTCCTTTAGCTAGTCAGAAAAACAGGAGAGGATAAATGCACAAGACCCAATAAGAAGATACTTGGCAAAAGAAAGATGAAAATCATTCTGGAAATTGAGTGGGGAAGATTTTCTGTTTTCCTCCATGCTGAAGAAGTAGAGAACAGATAATTATTTCCCAATAGCATGTTTAATTTCTTCAAAGAATATTATGCCATGCCACAGTTTGCTGTGTTCTTTTGAAATATGTTTTCATTTGTGATTTACCCTATTGCACTGCTTGTCAGGATTTTACAGGCTTCAGCAGACTTATGGGCTGACTGCTAATCCATCTCATTCTGAATTTTTTCTTGATTGGTTCCTAAATTTGGCATATCCCATGTTTCCAGGAACAAATCTGCAGTAGCGAGGGTGGGGGTGGGAGGGAAGCAAACTGTCTCCCTAGCCTGCAATGTAAGTTGGTTAAGCTCTTTTCCCCAAACACAACACAGATGCTGATTTTTATTTTTATTTTCCAGAAACAGAGTAATATTTAGAAACCGTCGCCAGCATCTGGTTAGGAACAGCAGTCCCTACCCATAAAACAGATATCGTGCCTGATTTCCTATGCTTATTTCTTGGTCTTCAATTTCACTTGATTATAAGTAGATTTGGTTGCTTTCCTACACTGTTAATTCCACTTCACCTTGGATTTTTAGTCCACCTGGGCTAAATTTTTTATTATGTGCATGGTATGCAACTAAAAGACACCTGCTACCCATACATTTCTCCATTACAAAAGTATATATGACAAAAGAACTGAAATATTACTTTTAATTATATTTTAAATTCTACAGTAAATGGAGACCAAGCGTCAGAAGGACATAACCAACACAAATCAACACCAAGCAAAACAAACACTGAAAATAAACTCCATTGGTAAGTTTACCTCTTGTCATTCTCTCTATTTCTTGATGTACATTTTCCCTGAATTACTATTCCTGAGCTTTGACCCATCTGGCACATACTTAACAAGAACCCAGGGATAACAGGCTGTATCCCACGCAGTCTAAATGACATTTTCCACTCTACACATTACCTTTACAGTGATTTTCATCCCAAGGATATACACAGTTCTGGAGTCCATTGCAGACCAATGTATTATTAATACACATATTACTGTGGCAAAAGAATGCGTTGGCTTCACAAGGGGCTAAAAACAAGAGAGAAAAAACTGATATTAAGTAATAAATCATTCAGCTCTTCACAACAAACACATCTAGGAGAGCTCATGTAATCTGTAATAGGAAAAGGTATACAACACAGGTTCCTTGAACATATTTCATATGCATCGTTGAGAGCACTCAGCTGAGTCTCACTGAATAACTCACTGTTATTCTGCAGCAAGAGATTTTCAGTTCACAGAAGGACTTTCAGAACACAGAAGGACTTTCCTGTAGTCCAACTCTTACAGCTGTAGCAGGTTGGCCCCCCCACACATTGGTGTGGGATTATAAACAGTTTTAGCCACAAATCTAAACACAGCACCCTATGGGCTGCTATGAAAAAAAACCTTAGTTTTATCCCGGCTAGATCCCACATAGCAGAAATAATTTGTTTTAAAGTTCATTGCTGAAACTCCAGTTTTGTAAGAAAACTTCTGTCTCTCATAGAAGATACATACTTTTGTGTCCATATCAATGGTGCCTGAACATTTATATACAGAGAAAAAAAAAATTATTTTTAAAACTTTTTGGTCATAAGAAAGGCTACAGTAAAAATGTATCACAGTTTCTTTTCTTCAGAAGTGTGAAGACTGAAAAAAGCAAGAGTCTTCAGTGTCCCTGAAGCCTATGGTTTAGGAGAATCATGTAGATTAAAGCTGCAGGATGAAAGCTTTACTGAAGAACATATACTGCTGCTGTGAAAAAGAAGCCTGAAGCCATCAGAAGGGTTTGTACATACTGTTGAACTGTGCTACATACTCAAGCATTGGGAGACGCTTAGGTGTTGGGGTTGGAAAGATACTGCTCCAAAATTATGTAACATAAAAATATAAATTACCCCTCATATTTCTTTTATTAAAACAAAACCAGCATATTTTCTTCCACTTAGAAAAAGAGCTACAAAATTTATCAATATTAAAGCAGTAAAAATGAATGGCTTCTGTATGTTTTTTTTGGCTCAAACAACCAAAAACCATTATTTTCATTAATTTTAAGGGAAAGTGAAAAAATAACATAAGACCATTAGCTAATCAGAAAGGAATTACGGTGCTCATATTATTGACACTTAGAATTTGATGCTTCATGGCAATTTTTCTCTTCTGCAACTTTAAAAGCAGCTCCTATGACAATATACATGCATAGTGCAGATTCTGTCTCAGAGCAGTGAGACCTCCTTCAGTGGTTTTCTAAGGACAGTACTAAGAATTTATATTGTAGCACTTAATAAACCCACTTCTCAACAAGCATTTAAACTGGGATATCCATAACGTTCAATAATAGTTTCTTCAGGGTGGTTTTAATTTGTTAAACAAATAGTAAATGCCATCAAAATTCATACACACCCCCAAATACTCAACCATTCACTCAGATGTAACAGTCATATATCTTAGCCAATGCAGAAGACTGATCAGCCAGACTGGTTCTGCCCATTATTCAATATTTGGAAAATCTGATGTACCATCTCCTAAGCTGCAGTGAGACCGGTCAGGTGTTAAGTTTATTACAGGAAGAATTTTACATGAAATGGAACAGAAAGAGCAGAAAAGTACAGGGGGTGCTTTGGGGCAGTCCCTGTTGATCTGTTGCTGTCATTTGGGCACAGTGAGGGCTGAGTCTGGAGGATACTGTGTCACATCATGACGTGATACATCATATAGGGAACCCACCAGAGGCACTATCATCTTTTCACAGTCTACCTGCAATCCCTGCTTCTGTGCAAGGCAAAGATCTGTTGGGACTAGTTCTTTTCAATACACAGAAAGAATTTCACTTCCTGCTCTAAGAAAAGGTTCAAAGCAGACGAGAGAATTTATGAAAGGGAACTCTAAGAGGACCTAAGTAACCACCCATTCAAAATACATGTTAATACGTGAGAAGTGTACAAGAAAAGAAAATCCAAATGACATATGGATAAAATACAGGGAGTGACAGGGGAACGAGGGGGAAAAGAGTGCAGGATCAGGAAAATTTATGCTAATAAAGCCATAAAGAAGAATAAAAAAACCACCCAACCTGTCCCCAACCCCCCCAAAACAAACAAACAAACAAACAAACCCCAACCCACAAACCCAGAACAGAATGGCATGAAAGCCCTTGAAAATTTAGTGGTGAGGACAGACAGAACCTTCTAGATGTCTATGACTTGCTTTTGCCACTTTAAGGTCAGTCTGATTTAAACCTGAATGCAGGAACAAATAAAGGTTTAATAGTGGAAGAAGACCCCCCTTCCCCCAGAGAATAGGGAACAATTTAAGGGAAGGAAGGACAGTTGTGCAAAATGGAACTCAAGGAAGTTAAAAGTATAGTGGTAATAAGTAGAAAAGTACTAGAGGAAAGTAGTAAAGGAAGTGAAAAGAAAAGGAAGAGAGAACTGCAAATCAGAAATAGATGATGCTTAAGGTGCTCTGCACTGAAAGAAATGACAAGAGACTTCATATCACATGAAAAATATTAGGAAATGTTTCAGAAATAAGAAAGAAAAAATAACAATACAAAAGATTTATTTTTTCGTGGATTTAAGAAGGGATAATGAAGCAAAGTGTTGGCAGGGAGATATGGAAATGAAAGGGAAGATGAAAGAACAAAGAAAATAAAGAAATTCTCAGTTTCTCTAGCTTGTGCTGTTGAACTATGGAGAGAAGAGATGGTATGTGAATAAATGTCAAATCTAGATTAATAACAAGGCAGAGCAATTTCAGACTACAACACACTTAGCATGAGAGAAACATAATATTCCTAAACCTAATGACAAACACTCCTCTTTTGTTCATGTTTGTAAAATTAGTACAACCAACTCCTTTCTGTGGTCCCTTGAACCTGGAGTGATTAAGCTGGACAAGAAATCAATATATTTTCCCACTCTAATGAAGGCTTTTTGTTGAAATGAATGAAAGCATCAAGGGAAGCTGACAACTCATCAGTCCTGTTGTCCATTGGGCAAGTTAGATTTTTTTGCCTTTGAAGAGGCACAGCAAAAGGGTACTAGGATGTTGCATCAAGGACATTCTAGTAAGAGAAAAAGATAAACTGTTAATAAACAGGATTTTTTTACAGCAGGATGGATCTCTCTTGATGATTTCCTGAAGCTGTTACAGAACCCAGGACAGGACTGGAATCAAGCAGACAAGGTATGTGGCAGCAACACCTGATAACTAAACTGAAGTCTTCAACATCATCTATGGTAATACCTCAACATGTAAACATTAAACCTGAGGAAAGGCTGTGGATGTTTTCACAAAAGGAAGCTACTGCTATCACTAGCTTCAACTAGATAAAGCAGCACAAACCTCTCCACCCAGAAGAAGCCCTATTCTACCAGTCAACAGTCTTCCCCATGACTACATAAATGCCCTTTATATAAGAGAGAGAGCAGCAGGAGTGCATAGAGCTCTGCCTTGGGTGGGGCAAAGGCCCAAATAAGAGTTTCTGGGTCAGGAGTAGTGGGCAATCAGAATCAGCCACAGCTACCAATATTGTAGTCGGTGTCTGTCTGCTACAGACTACCTGATCAGGCACAAGAAATAGATGAAACCTTCTTCAGATGACTGGAAGAAGCCTCATGTTCTCAAGCCCTGGTCCTTATAAGGGATTTTAACCACCAAATATCTGTGAAGGGCAACACAGTAGGGTACAAGCAATCCAGGAGTTTTCCAGAGTGCACTGGTGATAACTTCCTAATACAGGTAATCAAGGAGCTGATAAGGACCTTTTATAAACAGTGAAAAACCAGTTGGGAATATGAATATCATGTGCAGCCCTGGCTTCAGTGATCATGAGATGGTGGAGTTCAGGATGCTGCAAAGAGGGAATAAGGCAAAAAGCAGGATTACATCTCCAAGCCTCAGGAAAACAAAGTTTCACTGTGAGGGGTCTGCTTGTACGAATGTCATGGGAGGTGGTCCTGTAAAGATAAGGGTTTCAAGAGAGTTAGCTGATTTTGTGAGGTCACCTCCCAGATCAATAGTTGTCTATCTGGATGAGAAGAAAATCAAGTGAAGGTGGCAGTTAGCCTGGACAGATGAACAGTGAGTTCCTGACTAAACTCAGACATAAAAAGGACACATACAAGAGGTGGCAGCAGGGTCAGGGGACCCCAGAAGAAATACAGGGGCACTGACCAAAGATGCGGTGATACAGTCAAGAAAACTGAAGCTCATCTGGAGTTGAATCTGGTGAGTGCAACAAAAAAATACCTCTACAGGTATGTCAGCTCCCAAAACAAGATGGGGAAAAGTGTGAGAGAACTTGTCCTGTGTCCCAAAGTTGATTTTTTTTGAGTAAGAATAGCCAATAAATTAAATTTTGTGATATTAATTGCTATACAACACTGTGCATTATCAATCCTATGGTGGCCCTATGCAATATCAGGGTATTAGAGTAAAAATTACCCAGATTAATGAAGGATGAACTTTGATGAAACCGAGCAAAATGCAGTGATGACATAACAGGATAAGCAGAGCAGTGATGGAACCAGAACTGCTTCGATGTGCCACAATCCAATACCACACACAATCTTTCCTGCCCTGGAAGACTCTTATGACAAATGGAGCCCAAATCATAGACTAAATGAACTCAATGGACATTTTATATGTATGGCCCATAAACTGAAAGAATTTTCTCTCTCTCTCTCTTTTTCCAAGACAAGAAAGGTGGTGGTGATTAATTGGGATGTATTGGGAAGTGTGGGAACTGGGCATGATATAAATAGTATAGAATAAGGAGTGGATGTTGCCTTGGTTTCAGCCAGGATAGAGTTTATTTTCCTCTTAGTTGCTGGTGCAGTGCCACATTTTGGATTTAGTGTGGGAATAGAGTTGATAACACACTGATGTTTTAGTTGTGGCTAAGTAGTGCTTATCCTAAGTCAAGGACTTCTCAGCTTCTCATGTTGCCCTGCCAGCAAGGAGAGTGGAGAGGCACAAGTAGCTGGGAGGGGACACAGGCAGGCCAGCTGCCCCAAACTGGCCAAAGGGATATTCCATAGCAC